TTTGATGGGCCGGCCCGGTGGCGCACTGCTACAGTGCGCCGCTTGGGAAGTGCAGCGGCGCTCCCGTCGAGGGTTCGGATCCCACGTACAGACCGGTTCCCACTCACTGGCTGAGCGAGGGGCGGGCGTGACACCGAGGGTTGCGATCCCGTTGCCAGTCACGAAAAAAGACAAAAAGAAAAAAAAAAGAGTTTTGATAAGGGGAGATCTCTAGCATTTGTTGTAGTGGGGGAAAAAAAGCAAGGTGCAGAAGGATGCATAGAACATGCTACCTTTGAGTGAAACTCTGACACGCGTTGTGACATGGATGAACCTTGAGGACATTATGCTGAGTGAAATAAGCCAGAAAAACAAATGTTGTATGAGTCCAGTTACAGGAGGTGCCTAGAATAGGCAAATCCACAGAAATAGAAAGTAATAAAAAAAAAATTAAGTAAAAATAAGAAAGTAGAATTGTAATTGCCAGGGGCTGCATGAGGGGGACTGGGGAGTTAGTGTTTAATGGGTATGGAATTTTGATTTGCAGTGACTTTAAAAAGTCTGGAAATGGTGGTGGTGGCTGCACAACACTGTGAATATACTTAATGCCACTGAACTGTACACTTAAAAATTGTTACGATGGTAAACTTTATGTTACACGTATTTTACCACAATAAAAAAAATTTATTTTTTCTGAGGTCAAGTGTTCGGATTCCTATCCTGGGCAGCTGCAAAAAAAAAAAAAAAAAAAATGTGCTCTCGTTAATGTAAAAAGGAGTGTCGGGATAAATATGTATTCATATTTGGTTTTGTATGTACACACAAATTCTGGAAAGATACTCAGGAAATCAAGAGTTGTGGCTACTCGTGGGGGAGAAGAGAGAAACTGAGACTCGCAGGCAGATGCTGCAGCATAAACCTGATTCTTTTTGTGTTTTGAAGCACCTGTGTGTCTGAACTCTTCAAAAATGAGATTAAGAAGTTTGGAGAGAGTGGCTTTATTTAGGATTGGTAGGGTTTGGTTGCATTTTTATAGTGAGCAAGGTAATACTGATGACCGTATCAATAGCAGATAATATTTCCCACATCTTATTGTATTCGTTTCCTGTGGCTGCTTGTATCAAATGACCACAAATCTGCTTGTACCTGCTGGCTCCCTGCCACTTTCTGCCATGAGTAGAAGCAGCCTGAGGCCCGTGCCAGATGCAGCTGTCCCAGAATCGTAAGCCAAATAAACCTCTGTTCTTTATAAATGGAAAAAAAAAAAAAAAGACCATAAACTGGGGGCTCACAGTAATGGACATTTATCCTCTCACAGTTCTGGAGGCCAGAAGTCCAAATCAAAGCATTAGCAGGGCCGTGCTCCCTCCACAGGCCCAAGAGGAGGATCCTCGCTTGTCTCTTCCAGCTTCTGGTTGTTCCAGGAGCTACTGGCTTCCTTGGTCACATTATACCAATCTCTGCCTGTCTTCACAAGGACTTTCCTCTTCTGTGTGTGTCTTTAACTCTTTCGTCTCTTATAAGACCTATCATTGGATTTAGGGCCCACCGGGATAATCCAGGATGATCTCCTCTTCGGGTCCTTAGTGACATCTGCAAAGATGCTTTTTCCAAATCAGATCATGTTCATAGGTCCCAGGGGTTAGAATGTGGGGGATTCCCAGTTTGCTTAATTGGTTAGTGTGTGGCCTTATAATACCAAGGTCAAGGGTTTGGATTCCTACCAGCCAGCTGCGCCCTCCCCCCCCCAAAAAAAGAATGTGGACATATTTTCCTGCAGTTCTGCAGCTCACCATTCAACCCACTACACTTTCTGGGTGCTACGTGGGGTGCTAAGCTCTTTACATAATTTCACCAAAGTCCTCAAACAGCCCCATGAAGCAGATATGCTTATCATCTCCATCTTCCCAAGGAACTCAGAGAGGTATAGGTCCTTGCTCAGGGTCACACAGGAACCAGGATTCAAACCCAGCTATGTTGGGCCCCAAACCCTGATTCAACATGAGGCACAGAAGAGGCTTCTGGTTTGGGGCCCAGTCTGCTAAGTCAAGCAGTCAAGCAGCAAATATTTCCTGTGTGTTTGTTCTTCACCAGCCCCCAGGCAGGCACTGGGGATACAGAAGAAAGGACAGTTGCGTACATCCCTCGAGGAGTCACCAGGAGGAGAGCCAGAGGGGACGAGTGCATTATTCATCAGCCCTTTAGAAGCAGTGCAATCAGATGTGATCTCTGCCTCCTGGAACGTTGTCCTTGACCCGCGACACCCACAGGGGCAACCCGGGCCACGAGTTTGTGATGGGAAAAGGACAAAGGCATAAAGTTCTCATCCAAAAGGAATGTGTTCGGTAGAAATAACATTTAAGCAGCACTTACCGCGTGCCAGAAGCTGTTGTAAGAATCTGACTCATTGAATTTTTCCTGTTTTGTGGATGAGGAAACCAAGGCACAGAGAGGTGAAGTGACTTGCTTAAGGTCATACAGCAGGAAAGAAGCAGAGCTGGGATTCGAACCCAGGTCTGCCCCTTTCCAGAACCCCTGCTGCTGTTGCTATGTTTTTAAATGTTGGTGAAATTGACATAACATAAAACTAACCATTTCAAAGTGCATGATTCAATAGCATTTAGCACATTGAATGTTGTACAACCACCACCTCTATCTAGTTCCAAAATATTTTCATCGCCTTGAAAAGAGACCCAAATCCATTACGCAGTCACTTCTGATCCTCCCCTACCCCCAGCCCTGGCAACTACCCATCTGCTATCTATGGATTGGCCTGTTCTGGACATTTCATGTAAATAGAATCATACACTATGCAGCCTTTTGCGTCTGGCTTCTTTCACTCAGAATAAAGTTTCAAGGTTCATCCACATTGTAGCTTGTATCAGTGCATCATTCCTTTTCATGTCTCAATAATATTCCATTGTACAGATATACCACATTGAGTTTATCTATTCACCTGAGAATGGACATGTAGGCTGTTTCCTTATGAGTATGCATGTACATGTAAATTAAAATGGCTAACTTTATGTTATATAGAACTTATCTCAATATTTTTTAAAATAGTTCTATAAGCTGACACAGGCTAGAAGCAGTATCTCCCCTCCCCCACAGTAACGATGAGCACATCAGTGCCCAGATCTCAATGTCATTCTCCAGTGTAAGTGAAAAGAACCTGAGCTCTTTGGGAAAATGGCTGATGCTAGGACTCAGGCAGAAAAAAACATGAGATAAGCTTGGAACATCTTGTGGTGACAGAAATTAAGAAAGTGCTTTAAAAAAATAATAAAATAAAAATGAAGTCTGGCTGGTTAGCTCACTTGGTTAGAGTGCAGTGTTATAACACCAAGGTCAAGGGTTCAGATCCCCTCACCGACCAGCCCCCAGGGTTGGGCGGGATGAAGTCACAGCCCGAGAGCAGCACCTGAAAAAAAATGCTCAGAGCAGGAGCCAATGAGAAAAGGTCCCATTGGCCAAAGCTGAAACAATTTGAGCAAGAAAATAAATAACAATAGTATTGGATTATAACCCAAAGAATAAAAAAAGGACTATTCATGGATCCATACTGGTATAAATAAATGATTGAATAAATAAATAAACAGAGGAGAAAGAAACAACTCTTCTTTACAGGAGTCTAAATAATGAACAATGTAGAAGGAAAGAGGTACACAGAAAATTACTATCAAGCAAGCATCACAGTAATAATGTCTATACATGCAATTAGCCAATGAATGTTAAAATTAATGAGCTGGACACTTAGCTCAGTTGGTTAGAGCATGGTGTCATAACACCAAGATCCAGGGTTGAGATCTCCAGCTGTGAAAAAGAAAAAAAAAAAAAAGGGTAAAATTAGCGGGTGAAACTTTAAAGGGTCTTACCCAAAGTATCAATGAGGGTGGGGGTTTTAACAGAGGTCCACAAATTCTTCTATATTTCCTCAGAAGGTGGGGCTTAATTCCTTTGCCTGAAAAGAGGCTGGGAATGTTTTGTTTCTGGAGTTGGGGTAGTGGTTACAGAAGTGTGTTCATTTTGTGAAAATTATTCCAGGTATTCACTAACAATCTGTACACTCTTCTGTGTGTGGGTGTTGTGCTTTGATTAAAAGTGCAATTTCCTACCCGGCAAAAAAGAAAAGAAAGAAATAGATAAACTCAGCTGTGTGTCTCAGAGACGCACATTGTTGGCATTAAAACTGTTAATGGGGCCGGCCCGGTGGCGCACTGCTACAGTGTGCTGCTTGGGAGCGCGGCGACACTCCCGCCTAGGGTTCGGGTCCCACATACAGACTGGTTCCCGCTCACTGGCTGAGTGAGGTGCGGGCGCAGCACCGAGGGTTGCGATCCCGTTGCCGGTCCCGGTCCGGTACGGGCGCAACACTGAGGGTTAAGATCCCCTTACTGGTCATCTTTTTTTTTTTTTTCTAACACCTTGACTTGGTGTTATCAGCACCACACTCTCCCGAGTGAGCCACGGGCCGGCCCAATACCGGTCATCTTTTAAGAAAAAAAAAATTTGAGAACCATTATCATAGGTTGTTGGGAGGATTAAATACAATACACAGATATACAATGCTCAGAGCAGTGTCTGGCCCCATAGCTCATACTGTGTAAGCATTCACTATCGTTGTTATTATTTTATTCTTTCTCTTGTTTTTTGGTGGTTGGGGTTACAAGGCTGCACTCTAACCAACTGAGCTAACTGGCCAGCCCCTTTTTTTTCTTTTCAATATTATTTTAGAAGAGGTCCAGGATCCTAGCCCTATGGGGTCTGGCTGTGCCCTCGTGCCTTGCCTGGTGGGGGAATATGTTCCTGGTCTCTGCAGAATCGAGGCCTTCTCGCCTCCCTCTGTCAAAGATGACACTGAGCTGGGCCACATCATCCCATCCCTGGCAAAAGGTTATCGCTTGGTTGAGGAAACGGGAAAGGTCAGCCTGGGAGGCCGTGCCCGCCTCCCCTCTGCTAAGGGAGATAAAGGAGGTTGCTTGGCTTCCTTCAGGCAGGGTGGGGGGAGCCGCAATGTATAAATGGGGGGCCCGGAGGCTGCAGAGACATGGACACACCCCACGTCCAACACATCTCTGTCCGTCATGGCCAAGTGCACGCTGCTGCTGCTGGCAGTGTGGGTGCTGGCTGGGGAGCTGGGGCTGGGGGCCGAGGCCCGGGCAGCACCCTATGGAGTGAAGCTTTGTGGCCGCGAATTCATCCGAGCAGTCGTCTTCACCTGCGGGAGCTCCCGGTGGAGACGGTCGGACATCCTGGTCCAGGAAGCTATGGGTGAGACTGGGGAGGGAGTGTATGGAGGAGGGAACAGATGGCCAGATGGGTCTGGAGCCAAGGACAGAGATGAAAGGCAGGGCTATCACCTCCTGCCGAGGAGACCTGCCCAGCCTTGACGCCATGCCCAAGGCTCAGGGCTTAGCAGATCTACAGAACTGGGATGGGGGACAGCAAGCCATCCACAGGAGCTAGAAGTCAGAGAACAGTCCACTATACGGCTGAGCACCTGCTATGTGCTGAGCCCAGGGCTAAGCAAGGCTGCTCCTTTAGGGGACGCCATGCATGAAGATGACACTGAAGTGCTGTCCAAGCCTTTACGGCAGGTAGTGAGAGGGTGTGGTGTATCACAGCTGGATTTTGTCACCTATTGGTGACCTTTCCCCAGCAAGCTGTTTCCCTCTCTGAGCCTGTTTATCATTAAGTCAAAACAGATAAGGACACAGCCTAGGCAGGACAGGGGGTTCAGTCCCGGTTTGAGCAGGAAGGGGGTGGGCAGGAGACCTAGTTTCATGAGGGGCAGGAGCCTGGCAAAAGGACAGATGTTCATGGTACTGATGATGAAGAGGAGGAGGAGGAGGGATGGATATGAGTGTGGGCCCAGAAGACACACAGCCTGGGTTCAAATAGTAGCTCTACAACTTCATAGCTGTGTGTTCTTGTACAAGCTCTCTAATGAGCCATGCCTCAGTGGTCTCCTCTGGAAAATGGGGTTGATAATAACAGTTCCTGACTCATGTGGTTGTCATTGAGAAGAATAAAGGAATTAATCCACTAAAGCACTTAAAACAGTGTCTGGCACACAGTAAGTGCTCAATAAATGATCAATGCTATTTTGAATGCTTATCGTGTGCCAGACATTGTTCTTATTTTTTATGGCTATTAACTCCTCTGCTCCTTATAAAATTCAAGAAGGTAGGAGTTATTATTTTCTCCAGTTTGCAGGCAAGGAAACTGAGGCTCAGAGAAGTAAATTCACTTGCTCATGATGATAACTTGGAGAGGCTGATTTTGTGCTCAGTCAGCCTGGCTCCTAAATGCACACTCTTAACCACCAGGTAATAAATAAAGAGCAGGGGAGAATAAATGACAGGAGAGGAAAATCAAGTTCAGTAAGGTTAAATAATCTGCCCATCAAAGCTGGGTGGCAGAGACAGAATTTGAATCTAGGACTGAGTGGAATTGAAACCTTGAACCACAAGGCTGCAGCACAAGAACAAAGGAGCTGGGCCAGCAGGAGCCTGGCAGCAGCTGAGCCCTGACCACTAACTCTTTTCATCTTTTGCAGGGGATGGCTTCCCAGATGCAGACACTGATGTGGACAACCTGGCAGATGAGCTGGATGAGGCTGTGGGCTCCAGCGAGTGGCTGGCCCTGACCAAGTCCCCCCAGGGCTTTTACAGGGGCCGACCCAGATGGCAGGGAACCTCTGGAGCTCTTCGGGGAAGCCGAGATGTCTTGGCTGGACTTTCCAGCAACTGCTGCAAGTGGGGGTGCAGCAAAAGTGAAATCAGCAGCCTCTGCTAGTCCAGGAGCTGGGTAGCTGTGGGCACCAGGGTCAACACCCAGCCTTGCTATTCACTCAGCCAGTGTCCATCTGGGCACCTGTCTTTCCACCCTCGCACATTCATTCATCTGCAAGTCACAGAGGCCAGGTGCTGTGGGCTCAGGCACACCCCCAACCCCACTATCCAACCCTGATTTTGGACCAGCCTATCCTGACCCTGTGCCCTGAGCAAAATGTGTCCCTACCTGGCTAAATAGGGACCCCTGATCCTGACTCCTGACCTCTTCCCAGCGCAAACCATGCCTTTGCCTGGCCTACCCAGTCCACTGCTACAACTGGGTTCCTACTTTACCCAACCTGGCCACACTGAGACCTCTGTCCCTGTCCAGCCCAATCTATGGCTCTCCCCTGCCCAAACTGTGGCTGCTGTCCCCTGGTCAGCCTTCGCTTACTCTTTGTTCCCTGTCTTCCAGTCCCTCTTTCTCCAATTCCCTCTGCCAGAGCTCTAAGACTGTGGCCCTCAGGGATGGGAGTGGTCCCCTAGGTTCCCTTGATAACCTGGGATGGGAGGCGCGGTGGGCGCATCAGAACCTTCCCCAACCCCAATAATAAAAAGTTCCAAAGGACTCGCCAGAGTGCGTGTGTGTGTCATCGCTGGGGCTGGGAGATGGAGTGGGGACACGCTGCAGGGGAGTTGGGCATCGCCCGCGGCGCCCTCCCAGACGCCCCAGGCCGCCTCCCTACTCCCCCGCCTCCAGCTCGGGGAGCTGGGGCTTTCCGTCGCGGGGAAGGGGCGGGGATCCGGAGCGCAAGGTGCAGAGGCGGCCTGGAGGGGTGGCTCCGCTTCCCGTCGCCGCCTCCGACGCCGAGCAGCGCGGCCGCCCTGGGCAGGGCAGAGCCAGGCCAGACTGGGGTCGCGGGGGGCGCCATGTGGGAGGCCCGGACCGCCCCCTTCTGGCCGCGGCAGCTGCCGAATCTGCTGCTGCTGCCTCTATTGTTTCTGCTGTTACACCGGACTCGTCCCCAGGGTGAGTTGTGGAGCGTGCGCGTGTCGCTGTCGCTGCGCGCACGATGAAAACGCAAACCCTCCGGGGTGAACCGTAAGTTAGCGGAATGAATGGCAGAGGTCCGGGTGCCACTGTGACCCCACCCCCCCGGGGCAGAGATCGGCAGAAGAAAGGAGTCTGGGAATGGGCGGCGGCGAGGTGGGAACCAGAGCCGCGGGGGGAGGGGTGGGGTGGGAGATCTTGGGGGTGGTGACAGGATGTGGCTGGCAAACAGAAGGGAGGAGTTTTGCCCAAAGCTTGGGTAGGGGCGACCAGCGCCCCCTTCCTGCTTCTTGCTGCTGCTCATTTCCGTAAGGGACCTCGGAACGCCCCCCCGCAATTGTCAGAAGTCCCCGGAAGTTCAGGTTCTGGGGTGCGCAGGCTGCAGGGGAGCCCCTTTCCTGGACCTTCTGCCTCCCTCTCCAGGCAGCTCGGGGCCACTGCAGTGCTACGGAGTTGGACCCGTTGGTGACTTGAACTGCTCGTGGGAGCCTCTCGGGGACCTGGGAGCTCCCTCCAGGCTGCACCTCCAGAGCCAGAAGTAGTGAGTACTCTCAGGTGCTTGGAGTAAACTGAGGCTCTAGAGGGAGCCCCTCACGTTCCAGCCTGCTCTGGTTGAAAGGAACCAGGAGTCTCCCCTTCCACCCCCTACTCTCAAACCCTTTAATTCCCTCATTTCCTTGCTGTGTGGCCCGGGACCAGTCACTTTCCCTCTCTGAGCCTCCGTTAAGTGGCGATATGCCCTGTTAAGTGGCGATAGTGATGGAACCTGGGTTGATTCTGAGGATTCAGTGACTTAGGTACTTGGCAAGGAGAAAATGCTTAATAATGGGAAGCTGTTTTTTATTTGCTGTGTGACCTTAGGCAGGTAGCTTAACCTCTCTGAGCATGTGAAAAGATCATTCAGTCTGGTACTGGGGGTGCAGCAGTGAAAGAGGTAGACGGAAAGCTTGGCCCCAGTGGGGTCTACAGAAAACCGTTCCTTCATGATGAATCACACCTGGAAATTCACCATTTCAAATTGGGCTGAGGGATGAGTAAGAGAGGCAGCAAAAGATGGGAATGGGGGATAGGAGGGCTGGCTTTTTACTTTTTAATGGTGGTTAAAATATACACAACATAAAATGTACCATCTTAACCTTTTTTTTTTTTTTTGGTGGCTGGCCTATAAATCTTAACCATTTTTAAATGTACAGTTCAGTGGCATTAAGTACATTCACACTGTGCTGTCATCAACATCCATCTGCAGAAGGGGGGCCTAGTTTTAATTGGTGCAGGGTGGGGGAGTCAGGGAAGGTCCCCCTTTTTATTAATGAGATAAAATTCACCTTACATAAAATTAACAGTTTTAAAGTGTGCAATTCAGGGGTATTTAGCACATTCACAATGTTGTGCAACCATCATCTCTATCTGGTTGCAAAACATTTTCATCAGTTCAGAAGGAAATCTGTGCCAATTAGCTGTCACTACCCCCCTCTGCCTCCCCAGCCCCTGGCAACCACCAATCTGCTTTCTGTCTCTATGGGTTTGCCTGTTCTGGACATTTCATATCAATAGGATCATACACCACGTGGTCTTTTGTGTCTGGCTTCTTTCACTCAGCATCATGTTTTCGAGGCTCACCCATGTAGCATGTGTCAGTGCGTCATTCCTTTTTATGGCTGATAATATCCCATCATATGGATACACCACAATTTGCTTATCCATTCATCCATTGATGGACATCTGGACTGTTTCCACCTTTGGGCTATTGTGAATAGTACTGCTAAGAACATGGGTGTGTAAGTTTTTGCTCGAGTCTTTGTTTTCAATTCTCTGGGGTATACACCCAGGAGTGGAATTGCTGGGTCATAGGGTAATTCTGTTTAACTTTTTGAGGAACACTATACAGTGTTCCACGGTGGCTGCACAATGTTCTAGTTTCTCCAGTTTTTCCACATCCTCACCAACACTTGTTTTTATAAAGGTGTTGTTTTGAACCTTTGAAATCCAAACCATGGGGATGTCCTCACCTCTCTCTCTCACCCACGTATGATCCACCAGCAAGCCCTGCCGACTCCATCTTCCCTGTTATCCAGAATCTGGCAATTCTGCCTATTTTCTTATACCCACCCTGCTCCAGCCCCATTATTGCTAACTTGGATCATGCAAGACTGCTCCCTGGTCTCTGGTTTCCACCCTCAACCTCACGCTCTATCCTCCCTGTAGCATCTAAAGGGCACCTTTGAACATCTGAGTCAGGACACATCCCTCCTCGGCTCAGAACCCTCCATGGCTGCTGTCTCACTCAGGGTAAAAGCCAAAGTCCTTCCTGCAGCCCACCAGGCCCTGTACACTGTCCTCATTGCTCACTCCACTCCAGCCACATGGACCTTCTTGCTGTTCCTCCAACACACCAGGCACAGTTTGGCCTCAGGGCCTTTGCACTGGCTGTTCCCTCTTCCTGGAATGCTCTTCCTCCAGGTACTGCTTGGCCCCATCCTCCCCTCCTTCAGGCCTTTATTCAAATGCCTCCCCAACTGAGAGAACATTCCTGAAAACACCACACCAGGCACAGTTTGGCCTCAGGGCCTTTGCACTGGCTGTTCCCTCTTCCTGGAATGCTCTTCCTCCAGGTACTGCTTGGCCCCATCTTCCCCTCCTTCAGGCCTTTATTCAAATGCCTCCCCAACTGAGAGAACATTCCTGAAAACACCTCCCTAAAATAGCACCATCACTCTGAATCCCTTCATCACACTGCATCGTCCTTACCCTATGTGATTGCTTTTTATCACTTATACCTCTTGAAATGTGTATATGTTTATGTGTTTCTCATCTGTCTCCCCCTCTGGAATACCAGCTTCAGAGGGTGGGTCCTTGTTTGTTTTGGTCATAGTTCTATCCCCAGCTTCTAGAACAGGACCTGGTACAATATATATTTGCTGACTGAATAGCTACATACACATTAATGTGCATTGATATAGTATATGCTCAATTAAACAATGACCAATGCTCACGTAACGTGCATGGCGCACCCAACGTTGTTCTAAACACATTCCACGTATTATCTCATTTATTCCCCTCCCCTATTCAGCCTTCTCAGCAAGTACTTTTATTGCTTTCATTTTGTAGATGAGAAAACAGAGAAGTGAGGCACAGAGAAGTTAAGTCACTTGCTCAAGGTCACGCAGCTCTAAAGCAGCAGAGCTGGGATTTGAACCCAAGCAGAGCAAGCTGCAGCCACTCTTACCAGTACGAGGGTTGTTATCACATGGCTCTGGGCCCAGCCCAATGTGTCTCATCCCTGCATGTCTCCTCACAGCCATTCCTACAGAACCCAGACTGTGGCAGTGCCCACCGGGCAGAGCTGGGTGACCATTCCGCGGGAACAGCTTACCATGTTTGACAAACTCCTTGTCTGGGTGACTGAGGCAGGCCAGCCTCTCGGGCCCCCAGTCTTCGTGAACCTGGAAACTCGAAGTAATGTGACAAGAGGGTGGGGCACTGTATGTGGGCTGGGTGGTCCTGGAGGCCCCAACTCACTGCACCCTGGCCTCCCCTTCCCCAGTGAAGCCGAACACCCCCTGGCTGTACCCTGATGTGGACTTTTCTGAAGATGACCCCTTGGAGGCCATTGTCCAATGGGCTCCACCTATGTGGCCATCCCACAAAGTTCTTATTTGCCAGTTCTACTACCGAAGATGCCAGGAGGTGGCCTGGACCCCGGTGAGTGTCAACACTCAAAAATAGTCAATAAAAGCTGCTGACATTTCTAAGCACCTACTGTGTGTCAGGCCCCCAGGTAAGCAATCTGCATGGATTATCTTGATGAGTCCTTCCAACCTCCCCATACAATAGATGCTTTTAAGATCACCATTTGATAGTTGGGGAAGCTGAACTTCAGAGAAGTTAAGCAACTTTCCCAAGGTCACAGAGCAGGAAAGTGAAAGACAAGTCCAGGGCAAGGGGACCCCAAAAGGAGTTGGGGGAACCGCCCACACACTTTAAGGGCACAACATGGAAGTTGCTTATATCATTTCCTCTCATATCTCATCGGCCAGGAACATAGTCACACGGTCTCACCTGACTGCAGGGGAGGCTAAGAAATGTAGTCTTTATTCTTGGCAGCCGTGTTCCCAACTGATACTCCTGGTGCCTGTTTTCAAAGGGAAAAGGGGAGAATGAATATTGGGGATAACCAACTGCCTCAGCCACAAATTTTGCTATAAAACCCCAGAATAAAGAGCAGAGTTGTTGTCATTGTGATTACCCATGCAATTCAGAGCAATGATGAGATGCACACTTTGGAATCTGACTACCTGGGTATGAATCTCAGCTCCAGCATTCACCAGCTCTGTGACCTTGGGCAAATCACTTCCTGTCTCTGGGCCTCAGTTTCCTCACCTGTAAATGGGGTAAATAATAAAACTTACCACCTCCCGCCATACCTGGCATACAGAGTGACCAGCTCGTCTCTGTCTGC